TACATCTTATCTTAAATGGCCACTGCGACTTGGTATCCTTTCCTGGTGAGGGATACGTATGTAGCCTATACAATGACATGCGGTGGCCAGGATGTGCAAGTCAGTGCTTTCATCTTCCCAAACGAGTCTGGTACAAATTGACCGACGCCGGAGGGATAGAAGGCTTGGTTGACCTGAGCGGATATCTATCCGGTATTCGAACCCGTGACCACGTGTGTGTGAAGAGCACCACGTGTCACTACACCACCTCCGCCGTATATTTATTATATATTAATTCATTTCAGCGGTTACAAATAGGAATCTAGCATCAATGCTGAGCAAACACATACTGTTATTTATGATTGAGATATTTTTGTGCCGTACGAGGTTGTTAGGTGGAACAATCAGTTTAATCAACGGCCTAACGTTTCGACGCAATCCTCTTCCTCAGAGGCCTGAACGCAACTCGAGATGATTTGCACAATATCCTAGAAACGCGTTATCTCCCCTGGCACATGTGACGACACATTCAAAACCTATTATTTGAAGCATGACTAACCAGGGTTCTACCGCTTGAGCGGAGAAAATCCGCTGCCGCCACAGACGATTGTCAGTAGCGAATGAGACTTTCTTGCTGTCTCCCTTATATTTGTGATAAGGAAGATCACGTCATAGTGCTACTGAGTCATAAGTCGCAGTGCATATGTATGGCAAAAGATCGTTGGTTATAGTTGGGCACTCATCTCTACCGTTTACTTTAGGACTTTTTTGGAAAATCCAAAACGCCTCTAACGCCTTTCTCGCTGAAATCTCCGCCTCCTGCGCTAATATCGTGCACTTTATTTCGAAACTGTTGCCGTTGTGCTCCTCAATTTCGCGCCTACCAAGTGCCGTCATCAGACTGCCTCGTCTCATACTAGCTAGGTGCTCTTTAATACGTATAGCTAGTGTCTTCCCGTTTCTCCGATGTTGTAGACCCACATGCCCAACATTCTATCTGGTAGATTACGCCTATCAGAGCGCAATCGCCTGTTCTTCCGTAGGGACATATGTTGCAGTCTTTTGTTATGCACTGCTTATCGTGGAGCCTGTTTTGAACTATTAGTTGCTTGATGTTGTTATTAGGAATGTTCACTAATTGTATAACATCCTGCAGTCCAGCTCTGAAAAAGCTCCGCTGTATAGCATTGCTAACTTTATCGGAGATAAAGGGAAGACATGGTGGTAACTTGCTTGGGGAGTAGCACACTGCGTATTAGTTCGACCTTTTCTCCACCGTTTGATATCGTGTAACCGTTTACAGCAGCTATCCACAAGCTAAACGTCGTGATTCGTGACGTTCATTCTCACCCGTGCAGACATTTGTTGCTGTTCTCAACATGTTGCTGACGGCTGCACGTTTAACGGCTTGTGGATGAGCTGACGTAGCGTGAAGTAAGATATTCTTAGAACTAGCTTTACGGCACCACTTCACACTAACAAAGCCACTGGATACTTAAACTTGAGCGTTGAGGTAAGGGAGCCAACCGTCACGTGGTACCTCTCGGGTAAGTTTAATGTACTGTGACTGCTCATTCATGACTCGAAAACACCCGTTCATCTCGAACTGCGTTGACGTCACGATGAAACAGTCATTGATATATCTGCAGTACATTGATTTCGTGCTAGCACCGGTTCTTTAATTCTACCCATAAAACACACTGCGAGAACTGGTGCTAGCCGTTGTCCCATGGCAAGAGTTGAGAAAAGTACTTTCCCGCCCATTTGATGATATTACAGGTTAAGCATTCCTTGACCAACGTCATTATGTGCATTTTACTAAGTCCAAAGATATTAATACTATTAGCATGCCTATCTAGCATTTCAGATAACGCTTGTAGAGCTTGCTCATTTCCAACATTAGTATAAAGCGAAACGACGTCGAACGACTCAACTAAACTACTCATACCGAGGTCTGAGCCATGTAGTAGTTCAAGAAAATGCTTAGTTAGTACTGGGCAGGTGAGATGGAACCTCGGTCAAAAACTGGCTTACTATATTATTGATTAACCACGAGATCCTGTCAGTTGGTCCCCCTACACAATTTAAGATGGGTTGAATTCAATCAATTGAATTTAATTTTGAACGGACTGTTATTCCTATATGACTCCTATTTTCTTACATATGTTATAGGTATCGCTGCCATGGTGGATTGATACTTTTATAATACTTTTTTCGTTTCGTATAATAAGCACCAATGGTATTTAGATTAGCAGTCCTGTCAACGAAACTTTCATTTCATGAAGAGGTCGAAAGGTATACGGAATTTACCCAAGAACGAGTTCGAATTCAAAGGAACGATAAGATCGTAATGTAACATCATCTAATATCGTAATGGAGTAGAAAAAAGGGCAATGCAGTAGCATAATGTCTTCATTCATCCCTGTCGCGGGCTAGAATGGTTAATGGTCCAATGGTTAGTCCTCACCCGAAGGACACGAGGCATAGCATTCCTTCTATTCAGAGCCTTCGTGAAAAAGACTGACTATGGGTTAGGGGCCGTCCTGGTACTAGTTTGACGTCCTAACGGATCCAATTGAGAAGCGCCTGCTCGAACGGTCGCATAGCATCTCATGCCCACCTAATCTTCTATTTCTTGGAGTGAGAAACGGTATCCCTGATCTTCGTCCGTCGACGGAGTTCGGAACTCCAAATTTTTTTCTGCACTTGCGTGTATAGGGAAATTCTGGGAATCGTCTTTCCACAAACTGACTGCCTGCTCATTTTTCATAGAGTCCCAGTCTCCGAGGGGTACGTTAAAGCAAGAAGGATCACAGTCTAGAAAAAGTGAGCGGAGCCAGATGTTCTTTATATTGTCCTTCACTCTCTTGATGGTTAAGTGCTTCACACGCGTTTCCGTCTGCTCAGTCCGGAGCTGGGTCATTCATCATGTTGAATTCTCGACTTAAATACACAATCAGTGGCACTGTACCTGGAGCATTCAGAGATAATCGTTTCGTTCAGCGTGAAAGGAGCATCAGGTTTCCTTTCGCATGAACTGTATTCCGCCTGCTCGATGTACGGTGTTATAAGCACAGGTCGTCTGCAAAGCGGATGTAAATAGCTGTCGCCAACCTTCACTCCCACCCTTTCCCATTCCATATGACACATGATCTTTTCGATAGTATCACTGAAAAGTTTGGGCGAAATGGTATCGCCCTGTTGAACCCCTCTCTTCACGTTGATGTACAGGGTGCGCCATAAATATGGTAACAACTTTACGCAAGAGCGTAACTTCTTTCTTTACCTAATTTTTCAAAAAATGTTCATTCCATTAAACTTGCAGTATACCTCAGCTATCATCTCGAAAAATGGGGAAGCCTTGCCCTCATCGGGCTGCCATCCTGCCTCTGCGCGATTCTGGTTAACCGATTTCCAAGATCGCTGGTCGCTTCAACACCTCTCGCACGACCGTCCATCGAATTGCGAAGCGTGGGTTAGTCAATGGCAAGCCTCGATCTGGTCGGCCGTCTCAGTCACACCCCTCGCTCGAGGAAAATTATCAAGGAAAGACTGCGTCGTGAACCTTGCGGAAGCATAAGAAAAATGGCTGCCGAATTGGGTGTGTCGGCTACTTCGATGAGAAGAGTCTTCCGAGAGCAACTAAATCTTTATCCTTCTAGGCTCCGAAAGCTCCACAGCATTCTGACAAGACGAAGTACGAAAGGAAGACGAAGTGTCGTGCCCTCCTTAAGCGTGGCACGCACCTCGTCACACTGTTCACTGACGAGAAGCTAGCCCTGCGCGGAAGAAAAATTCAATAGCCAGAACAGACGGATACTTGCCGCCTCAAGCCACGAAGCCGATGAAAAAGGTCGAATCGTTTTTTATAGCCACTTTGCCTCTTCCGTGATGGTTTGAGCTGGGATGTGCACCACCGGACGTACACCGCTTATTTTTGTAAAAAAAAAGGAGCTAAAATTAATCAGGATATCTACATAAAAGACATTCTCGAGAAGATACTATCATGGGCCAAGAATCACTTCAAGGATACGGTTTGGACTCTTCAACGAGATGGAACACCAGCTCACAAAGGAAAGAGGACACAAGACTGGTGCCGTGAAAATGTTCCGGACTTCATTGCTGCTTCCGATTGGCCAGCCAATTCCCCCAACTGTAACCCGATGGACTACTGCGTACGGTCTATTTTAGAGAGCGAGGCTTGCGCTTCAAAACAAACCACAATTGCTGCTCTCAAAGAATCACTGAAGACAGCCTGGGATAGAATTCCTCAAGAAGCTCTGCGTGCCGCTATAGATGCGTCCCGAGGCGTCTACGAGCCATAATTCGTAAAGGAGGAAGGCATATTGAATGATCGTATGTTTTTCTTGTTGATGTAATGTTTATTAAATATTTCACATGAGTTCATCTTGTATCGATTTAAAATGAGGTTTCTGTACCACAATTACTTTGTTACCATATTTCTGGCGCACCCTGTAGACTCGTTATAGAAAGGCGAAGTCCTGATTGCAAAGTCGTTTTAGAGCTCACGAAGCATATTGATTAGGAACAGCCTGGTTGTCAAAGGCTTAATTAATTATATGATTAACCCTCCTGTCCAAATATATCCAAGGCCTTTTTCAAATCGATCAACCAGATATGTATAATAGCATTCTGTATTTTCGTGGTACTTGAATTAGCCTTGTGAAGCGTGGATATTATCGATTGTACTGAACTCCCTCCGACACCCTACTTGCGTGCATGGCTGTCCTTCATGAAATAATCTGTCAATCCTGTTGCTGACTCGTCTGAAAAGCTTGTAGGTTGCAGGCAGCAGCCACATTAGGCAATAGCTGGTAATGTTGTCTGGATCCGACTTCTTATACAGCAAGTATTCGCTAGTTTTGCTAATTTTTTCACGACTTGGGCACTTTGCATTCCGACAGGTACCGCTTCAGGAGCCGAGCTAGAGTTCTGAAGGCAACTGGCTGGAGACCTTCTGAATGTTCTGTTTTGATCCTATCGCCGTACAGTTCTTCATCGACGTAATGACATGTCGCATTTGAGAAGGGAGAGCTGAAGGAACGGCAACTGTCTTGCCTAAGATCGAAGGAAAGCAGGTAGACGTGACTGTCGAAGAGATTGGAGTAGCAGTCGTAGATGACCTTCTCCAAGCCCAGAACGGCGAAGGGAAGTCACCTTAGTCTTGTACTTGGCGAGACTCCGATGAGCTTTGTGAAAGCTAATTCCAGCCTCGGCGGCTTAGCCCGCAACTGCTGCTCTTTTTTCTTTCAAGTCTCCATTTGTCGCTTCTACTTCGTTGATTTGGACGCTTGTTGATGAATGCCTGTAGCTCGAACGATTCTAACTTCCACATTCAAGAGTCTCCTGAGAAAGATGCCTTTTTGCTGCTTATAGACTCTTTGCTTTCCTTGCTCTATCATGAAGATGTTCGACAAGCCGCTTGTATTCTTAATCGATGTTGTCGATAACTAGCGAATGAGCCAATCTGACCCGAATACGAGTTGATAAAGGTTTTGGAGGTTTTTGAGCTTCGCAGCTTTCTCTTCACGCACTGAAAACAGAATTAGCATGGAGGAGAACGATGGTCTGATCCTGTGTAGAACTTCGGAGAAGCAGCGACGTCAGTCAGGTAAAACTTTCGATTGGAGATGATGTACTCCACTTCATTATGGAACTGTACACCACGCGACTCCCATGTCCATCGCAAACGAAATGGCTCTTGCAAAGGCTTTTCTTTTTTCTGCTCCTCTTCTTCGTAGCTTGACCTCTGCGCATAGGTGCAAAGATTTCTTGAAATGGTTTTCTGCCACTTCTTCTCTATCGCAGACGTCCGATTCGGGTTGTTAAACTTTCACACGAGTCGATGTTTCTGGCAAGTGTGTGAAGCCGACGCACGTTACAAGCGTGAATCTTCTAAAATCTCGTTGGAAGGGCCCAGAAAGTGCAGATTGCCAACTTAGCACTTCTTCTAAACAGCCTGTCACGTACCTGAGGTTCCAGCAGCAGCTTTTACTCAACGCTGACGTATGGGGGCGCCTTAAGGTTCAGGAGAATAGGCCAATTCACGTACCTGAGGTTCCAGCAGCAGCTTTTACTCAATGCTGACGTATGGGGGCGCCTTAAGGTTCAGGAGAATAGGCCAATTCATACTACTGTTTTGTAATGCGGATACTCACGGGTAGCTCGCCCGGCGTGAAGTGGAAACTGGGTTAATTTCGGATAGTCGAAGTTACTCCGGAGTGGACAGGAGATTCTTACTAGGAGCGACCAGCCTCTCAAGTACATTTACTTCTAAGTAACACGAAGCTAAGCATTAGGCTGAGCCATCATGCAGGATATCAGCTGCACTCGCAAACGATCCACAAAATTATTAATGGATAAACACCGTGATACCGCGACCGTACTGATCCGCAATAATGATATTATTGCATAAGGACAGCGAAGTAAGATCATTCGCTACTAATGTACTACCCGTGTAGCGTAGTGCTACTTTTCGCGGTGGAAGTGAGGTGAGATTATCTTTTGAATTTCGGGCATTTTTCGTGCATTACTGATAGTACGTCAGAAACTCTAGAGAGTAGGAGGCGCTTGGTGGGGTAGTGTCCAATCAACAAGCTTTGAACCATTTTCAGGCCTTTGAAAACGACGAATTGGTCGAAACGTTGGCCAGAATAAAGGTCCCACCTAACAACCTCGAGGCAGAAGCAAAACTAACAATTTCAAGAAGAACAGGAAAGCCGAGGTTTCAAGAGGAGAGAACTTGGAATTTAATGAAGAACGTGCAGCCGCAACTGTCTCTATGGTGCGCGAAGCGCTTTCGCTTCGACAGAAAGTGGTCGTCATCCGTCAATCCTTGAAATTCCTCCAGCTTTGCAAGGAGACCGACATCGTGATAATCACCCCACTATCTTAATAATCAATCTATGTTTTAGGCCGAGTGATTAAAGGAAAACGGAGTTTATTGTACACGACATTATTGAAATGCAATTCAAAACGATCGGCATGCCGACGTCTCCTTCCGAAACAGACTTGGAGAAGGATTGAGGGTGGGTCAAAGCTGATTTGCAACTCTATCCAATCTAGGGCTAAGTCCACTCTTTGTGCGAAAATGACCAACTTTAGAGTTCGCATCGTGAGAATACTCGAAATATCAAAAGCAGCGAACCTACAGAACACTGCCTTGCTGACGAACATATTCGCAATGAACGTGGAATGGCAAGAGTTACTGTTTTGGGTGATGCACAACATTCGTCCAACGCACTTGACTTTCCCAGTCTCTTGCCATCGTTTTCACCAGCGCAAAGCATCAGTGCTGCTACGTTCGGTAAAGTTGTGGGAAACTTATATAAGCTGCGAGATTTACTGCGTTGCAGCGATTGCTATGAATGAAACATGCACCCGATCGCGAATCAGAGATCCCTTCCAAGACTGCACAGAGTGGATTAGCATGGTGGCAACGATCCAACAGCAGGTGTACAATATTGGCTCACGAGACAGAAATATCGTCGAGGAAAGCGTTGGAGGCGTTTTGGATTCCAGCTAGAAATCCAGATATGAACAGCGAAGTGAGTGTGCGACAATCGCAAGTGATCTCTTGCCATTTATGCAACACTGCGAGTTAGTTCCATAATCCGCGACCGTGCTGATCCGCAATAATGATATTACTGCATAAGGACAGCCAAGTAAGATCACTCGCTATTAATTTAAAGACTAACTGTGTTGCGTAGTGCTACACTTCGTGGCGGAAGTGAGGTGAGACTATCTTTTGTATTTCGGGCATTTTTCGTGCATTCCTGATAGTACGTCAGAGCGCTAGAGTTGAGAAGGCGCCTGGTGGGGTAGTGTGCAATCAACAGGCTTTGTACCATTTTCAGGCCTTCGACGAATCCGTCGGAAAGTTGGCCAGAGTGAAGATTCTCAACTAACAACCTTGAGGCAGAAGCAAAATTAACAATATTGATGGATACTTCGGCGAGAAGACAGAGGGTGTACATAGACCCTGACCTAGCGCAGCGGAAATGGGAAGTTCATCCTCTGAGTCCATCTGTGCTTCCTGGCAAGTACTGGTGCCATGTGACTTTCAGTTACTATTTGTACCCCTATCCGGCATTTGAGGTTGTGTTTCGCCTCCCCATTAATCTACTGGATATCTTTCATTGACTCGTGTAACTGATCTGTGGCAGTGACTGTAGGGTTCTAGACTTAACAAAACCAAATTCCATCAAGGGGTAATCTATTATTATTGAACTATTTGCACTAATCAAATCAAGTACGTGAAGCCGTGTGAGTTGGTTTTGAGAATCGACTGTACTGCACTAGTTCCTTCTGAAGACGGGAGGATAAATTCCTCCAGATGGGCACATGCTCAAGAATTCAAACTAATTTTCAATGAAGCTCGTGTTGAATATAAAAGTGCCATCTTGATGAGCTGAGATCTATAGTTTATCTGCTTCCAACAGAACTTATAACAGAAACATTGAAAAAGACTTGAGTACGCATTTACCATTCAGTTTTCGATAATGGCCTCGGCTAAGCTCAAATGTTTAACCCTTTATGATTATCAGCAGAACTCCCTTGAGGCCTAGCAGGAGGCATGGTGTCTGCCTGATCACTCTTGTAAAGCGATAGCAAATGCTGGTGGACATTTTAGACGTTTAGTGTTATTTCAAGAAGAATAAATTTGAAAAAAAATTTAATACGAAGATGTGCAAAGTTTTTTGCAACGCGACATTTAAGATTGAACTCACAGGAATGAATTCTTCTGGGCTGACGATTAGAACCTTCTTTCCACAACGGAAGAAGGTCACCGAGCTGTAAGCCACATCAGGATTTCATGGGGAACGAGGGAAAAAAGGAACACATTATCACGGAAAAAATTATTTAATTGGTCCAGATGTCATGTAGCAGGTTCAACTTTCCTCTCGACTTTTTTTGAAAAATGGTAACTTTATTGTGGATTTTTGCAAGCAATTATATAGGCAACTGCACGCTTTTCCTGCAGTCCTGTTGATCCTGTACAAGCACCCCTTTCGTCGTCCGAAAACTAGTTAATTTGAGAAGTCTTATATTTTACGAATTCACTTCGCTAACTCGCTTTGTTCTCCACGGACGTACATATTATTTTTCACCAAAACTTCCGTTTCCTAGTTTGACAGTGTTCCAGTACCTGCGCTCCACCATTCGACGCATAATTTCATCTACCCGCTGTTCGTGTACAGAGTGAACATTGTGAAGACCACACCAGTTTCCCTTATGTCAGTCCTTTCAACTTTGAAAATTCGCACCAGCTTCTTGACATTACCCTTACAGAATGTTATACCTT